CTCCAGCTGCCTGTAGGGGGTCTGGGCTGCCACCCCAGACCTGGGGTGTAGCGTCAGTCCAAGCAGTCATCCCTCCATCTTCTTCATTCCTGCTCTCATCCAGGTGCCAGCCCCCATCAAGACGATGACCATCTCCTCCAAGAGGGTGAGTCACAGCAGAGACCTGGGTGGGCAGATCCCATCCTGGTCCCAGCGGTGGCATTGCCCAGCGTCACCACAGCACTGGAAGAGGATGTTGCAGGGGCCCTAAAGTAGTGGGGATGACTAGCAGCTCACCCTGTCCTCCTTGTCCCCAACAGCAACAGCTGTACGTGTCCTCGGCCGTAGGCGTGACCCACCTGGCGCTGCACCGCTGCGACGTGTACGGGGAGGCCTGTGCTGACTGCTGCCTGGCGCGGGACCCCTACTGCGCCTGGGACGGCAGCGCCTGCACCCGCTACTCCGCCTCCTCCAAGAGGTACAGCACGGCACAGGGACAGGCACAGGGACAGGGACAGGGACAGGGTCAGGGTGGGACCCCCGCCGCAGGCTCCCCCTCTCACCTCCCGCTTCCCGCAGGCGGAGCCGGCGGCAGGACGTGCGGCACGGCAACCCCATCCGGCAGTGCCGCGGCTACAACTCCAACGGTGAGCGGGGCCTGGGCACGGCCCTGCAGCACGGGGCAGCTGGGAGGGCAGCCTGAGGGACGGGCTGGAGCCGGGCACACAGGGATTCCTTGGTGGGGGGTGGTTTTGTGGGGTTGGAGAGGAGATTGAACAGATTTGAATGGGTGGGTGGATGGACGGATGGATGGACGGATGGATGGATGAATGGATGGATGGATGGATGGATACATTGGGGAGGAGGTTGAACACAAATGGATAGATGGATACACTGGGGATGGATGGGTGGATGGATGGATGGATGGATGGATGGATGGATATATGGGGGAGGAGATTGAACAGTTTTGAATGGGTGGATAGAGGGATGAATGCATGGGTGAATGGACGGATGGATGGATACATTGGGGAATAGGATGAGCACGGATGGATAGATGGGTACACTGGGAATGGATGGGCGGATGGATGGATGAATACATTGGGGAGTAGGATGAACTTGGATGGATAGATGGATACACTGGGGATGGATGGGTGGGTGGATGGATTGCTGGATGGATAGATGGATACATGGGGGAGGAGATTGAACAGATTTTAATGGAGGTATGGATGGATGGATGGATGGGTTGATGGATGGGCGGACACCCACCCTTAGAGACAGAGGGGGCAAGGGAGAAGTGCAGCGGGCTGGGGGTGACCTGGCTGCCCGTGGCCCCCCTGCAGCTAACAAGAACACGGTGGAGGCCGTGCAGTACGGGGTGGAGGGCAGCACGGCCTTCCTGGAGTGCCAGCCCCGCTCGCCCCAGGCCAGCGTCAAGTGGCTGCTGCAGAAGGACAACAGCGACCGGCGGAAAGAGGTAGGGCAGGGCAGGGCGCGGCGGGGGCGCGGGGCGCTGGCTGCCCGCGGGCTCAGCCCTGCTCCCTGTCCCCCCAGCTGCGGGTGGAGGGCCGGGTGCTGCGCACGGAGCAGGGCCTGCTGCTGCGCGCCCTGCAGCTCGGCGACAGCGGCCTCTACTCCTGCACCGCCACCGAGAACAACTTCAAGCACACGGTGACCAGGGTGCAGCTCCGTGTCCTCAGCAGCCGCGCCGTCCACACCGTGCTGGTGCAGGCGGAGACCCCCCCCGGCCTGCCGGGTGCCCCCACTCCCCGCTACCAGGACCTGCTGCAGCTCCTCAGCCAGCCTGAAATGGGACTCCTGGACCAGTACTGCCAGGGCTACTGGCGCCACACGGCCGCCAGCCCCCCGCAGCCGCTGGCTGGCCTCAAAGCCAAGGAGCAGCAGGACCAGAGGAAGCCTCGAAACCGCCGGAATCACCAGCCAGAGACCTATGGGCATACATGAAACCATCATCAGGGACTTTGCTAGCACAGTGGTCTATTTTTCCCCCCTTTTAATATTAAAAATATCTATAAATAAATATATATATATATATATACATCCATGCACACACACGCGCGCAGACACACGCGCTGCCCCTCCCACGGGAGGTGGTGTTTATTTGTAGGCTGTGGGGTGGTGCCACCCCCACCTCCCAGCTCCAGGGAGGAGCAGGGACCCCTGAGGTGGCTGCAGCCCCCCTCGCTGCCTTCCCCCTGCTGAGGACCCCCAGATGCTGTGGTGCAGGGACCATGGGTCACCACAGCCCCTCTCCCACAGCTGGGGTGCTGGGGGTGGGTGTCCTTGTGTGGGAGGGGACGGTGCCCGGGGGGCAGGCAGTGCTAGACAAGGGCTGCCCACTGCCAGCTGGGCACGGCCATGGTAGTTTTGTGCCTCAGTTTCCCCACAGGGTTATGGAGGAGCAAGTGCTTCTGTGGGGAAGCTGTAGCCCTCCGGGCAAGCTGAGGAGGAGGGTTGAGGGTACACGGCTGTGTCCCCTCCCTGGGGGCGTGGCAGGGGTGAGATGGGGCCTCCAGGTAGGACCGAGGTGTTGAGGCAATAGTGGGGGCTTGGCCCAGGGTGGTTGGATGGAGAAGGGAAGGAGAAGGGGCCGTGCTGGTGTGAAACCTCGAGCAGCTGCTGGGGCTTGGTGGCAGTGCCACCCAGAGGTGTTTGGGACCCCCAGGCCATCAGCCACCCTCTGGGCACCCCGGAGGGTGTGGAGGGCTGTAAATAGTTGTACCTGTGAAACACAGGGGCGAGCAGGGCTGAGTGTGCCCTGCTGAGCTCGGGGCACTCCCGAATAAGCACTGCCTTTGGGACAGGCTGTGTGTGCTCTGTGGGGCCTGGCCTGGCCCCCAGCACGGAATGCTGAGCCCTGCAGGGCACACGGGGCTGTCCCTGGGGCTCTGGGGAGGTGGCAGCAGTGGGTGGCACTGCTGGTGTCAGGTGGCCGGTGCCACCACTGGGTGTTGCTGAAGGCACTGGGAGCACTCAGAGTCACTGCTGGGGGCACAGGAAGGTGCTGGGGGCCTGAGGAAAGCTCTGGAGCACTGGGATGTGGTACTGGGAGCTGGTACTGGGCGGTACTGGTGGAATGGAGCAGGGGAGACACTTCACAGAGGGCACTGAGGGTGGTGGTGGATGGTGCTGGGAGCACTTTGATGGATACTGGGGGGGCACCAAGTTACTCTGAGTAGCTCCAGGAGGCACTGGGGTCACTTCTGAAAGGTCCTGGGCTGTACTGGAGGTAGTACTGGGCACTACTGGGAGGGCTAAAAGTACTGAGGCACTAGGACTGGGCAGTGGGAGCTGGTACTGGGAGCAGTGGTGGTGGTTCCAGTTCCTCAGGGTGCCTGGGGCTGTGGTGGGCAGCACTGGGCTGTGTTGGGCAGCACTGGGCTGTGGTGGGCAGCACTGGGCTGTGGCAGGGCCCTGCTCAGCACTGGGCTGATGGAGCAGTACTGCGCTCCCCTGGCAGCCTTGAGAGGCTCTGCTGTGGGCACTGGGGGTGCTGGGGCTGTGCTGGCTCAGTACTGGGCATACTGGTGGGGTGCAGAGCTGTACTGGGGGTGCTGCAGTGCTGTACTGGGAGCACTGGGCATACTGGGAGCTGCGCTGCCCTCTGGCGGCCGAGCGAGGCGCTGCAGGAGCGGGGACAGGGCGCGCTGGGGACAAATGGGGACACCGGGGAACTGGGCTGTACTGGGGACACTGGGGACACCGGGGAACTGGGCTGAACTGGGGACACTGGGGACAAATGGGGACTGGGCTGTACTGGGGACACTGGGGACAAGAGGGGACACCGGGCAGCCACTGCGGTGCTCCTTGGGATACTTGGCTTTACTGCCGTGGCCACACGGTGGTGGCAGTGGGGGCACGGTGGCAATGGGGACAAGAGGGGACACCGGGGAACTGGGCTGTACTGGGGCAGTCCCGGCGGGGCCGGGAGTCACCGGGATGGGGACACCGGGCAGCCACTGCGGTGCTCCTTGGGATACTTGGCTTTACTGCCGTGGCCACACGGTGGTGGCAGTGGGGGCACGGTGGCAATGGGGACATAAGGGGGGGCACTGGGAAGGCACACCGAGGGACCCAGAGACATTGGGGGGCTCACTGCGCTGGGATGGTGGCACAGAGGTGGCACTGCAGTGTCCCTGCACGTTGGACAGGGTTTTTTGGGGTTGGGGGGGGACGTGGTCCCCGCACAGGAACTGGAATTGTTTGGGAGCACTGGGATTTCCTCCGTGTCACTGGGGAGTTACTGGAGAGGCCTTTGGAATCGCTGTGGAGGGTGTGCGGGTGTCCCTGAGGACATGGTGCAGGTGTTGCTGGCGGGCCTGGGGACGCTGTGGAGGTGACACTGAGCTGGCCTGGTGGCACTGGGAGTGTCCTGGTGGGTGGCTGGGCAGGCACACTCAGCAGTGCACCCAGGGGCATGGGGACATTACTGGAGGGTTCTGGAAGGGTCCCTGGGGACGCAGGGTGCGGTGGCTGAGGCTGACGTTCTGTCACTGCGGGGAGTGCCCGTGGGGACACTGGCGTGGCGTACTGGGGCAGGACACTGGGCACTGATCCAGAGCAGGGGTTTGCCCAGGTGAGATGGGGACAACGGGGACATCTGCTCCCGCTCTGACCAGATCCCAGCGGACACACCATCCCCACCCCGCAATGCCAAACCCCTGGGGTCCACGGCAGAGCCGGACATGGGGAGGGGTCCCGCTTCCCGCAGGGTGGCCGGGTCCCTGCCCCAGCCCCGGGTGGGGACAAAGCTGGGGGCTGCTGGGGCCGGGGCACCCCCCCGGCAGAAGTGCTGACACCGGGAGCCGCGGGATGCTGAGCTCAGCCCGCCGCAGATTGCAGGGGGTTTATCGGGGGGGCCCAGCTTAAGCCCCGGGTGCTGAGCGCAGCCCCGGCAGGCGGCCCCGCCGCACCTTGGCCCCGTCCTTGTCGCACACCGGGCGGGCGGCGGGCACCGGAGCGAGCGCTGGAGGCGGCGGGAGGCTGGAGCTCGCTGCCCATCCTGGTGCTGACCTCCAAGGAGCAGCTGGTGAAGCGCAGGGCTGCGGGGCTGAGCATGGGAGCCGGGGCCAGTGCCGAGGAGAAGCACTCCCGAGAGCTGGAGAAGAAGCTCAAGGAAGACGCTGAGAAGGATGCCAGGACCGTCAAGCTGCTGCTGCTGGGTAAGGGGGACACAGCACCCGGGGGGACAGACCCATCCTTTGAGCATCTCACCCTAACAGCCACCCGAGGTGCCCCTGAAACCTGCCAGAGCCCCTCAACCCAACCAGCACACCCCACAACTGTCCCCAAACCCAACCAGCCAATCCAGCATCCCCTGGCCCCCAGATGGACCCCCAAACCCAAGCAGCCCACCCTCACAATTCATTCAACATTCTCCTGACTCACCCAGGAGCCTTAAAACCAAGCAGCCACCCCAACATCAGCCCCATTCCCAGCAGCCCTGAACCAAACTTCCTCTTCTCAAGAGGCCACACAGTGTTTCCCTGATGCCTCCAGCACCTTTAAACCAAACCAACATCACCCAGGAGTGTCCCCAACAGCCTCCCACTCCCAGGCATCCCTAAAACCAACCAACCACTCCTCAATAAACACCCGAAGTTTCCCTGACCCCACTCTAAACCCAATCAGTTCAACAGTCCTGTTCCTAAGCACCCCTAAACCCAGTCAGCCCAATTTAGCAGTCCTCTGACCCCCACAGCACCCCTAAAGCCAAATACCCAACCCAAAAGCCCATCCAATGTTTCCTTTCTCCCTCTGAACCCCTAAACCCAACAAGCCACCCCAACAGCCCCCCCATTCCCAGGACCCCCTAATCCAGCTCATCCCAACTTGGTCAGCACCCCTTACCAGGCACCCCAAACACAACAGACCATCTCAACATGAAGATATGATCCTGAGATCCTAAGGTCCTGAGACCTACCCCCATGATCCCCTGGCTTCTATATATCCCTCAATCCAACCAGCCCACCTAACACTGCCCCCATTCCCCAACCAACCCGTCTTAAGAGCCTACACCAACACTACCACCCCAGCCTGTCAGCACCCCTGCCCCATCCTCCTAGGGACCCCCATGCAGCCCCCTGTGTGTCCCTGGAGCCCCCTTGCACTGTGTGTCCCCCCCAGTCCCCCAGTGGTGCCTGAGGATTGGGGTGCTGTGTATGTGGTGGGGCCATGGGTGGCATCACTGTCCTCACAGCCTGGCCCAGGACACATCTGCCTGCACAGCTACAAGTTTGGGGCATTGGGTGGCAGGGTTGCAATGCCACCATGTCCCCAGCCCCTCCCTTGGGTTCCTGAGAGTGTCCCTGGCTGAGCCGCTTCAGATCCCATTAGACACAGCTGCTCAGGCTACCCTTAATGCCCTGGCACCAGGCTGTTAATCCCCTGCACACCCTGAGCCATGGACCAGCCAACAGTGCCCGCAGCTGCGTCAGGCACCAAGGAGCTCAGTGAGCCAGCACTGGCTCAGCTGGGAGTGCCCATGGATTGGGCACCACCCTGACCCATGTTTTGTCCCCTCAGGAGCAGGGGAGTCGGGGAAGAGCACCATTGTCAAGCAGATGAAGTAAGTGCCAAGGGGGGGTCACTTGATCGTGCCCACCACGCACAGTGTCTGTCCCACACGGCAGCCTGGGGTGCCCTGTCCCACTGTGCCTGACTGCCCCACGCCACTGCCGTGAGGTGCATCTGCCGTGTGGCTCAGCTCCACGGCACCCAGCTCAGCCCCATGCTGTGATCTGCCCCGGCCAGGATCATCCACCAGGACGGTTACTCGCTGGAGGAATGCCTGGAGTTCATTGCCATCATTTACAGCAACACGCTCCAGTCCATGCTGGCCATCGTGCGCGCCATGACCACCCTCAACATCCAGTACGGGGACACGGCTCGCCAGGTGGGGAGCATTCCATGCTGGGCAGGGGGTTCCCCGCGGTCCCCGGGCCCCACTGACCCCCTCTCCCTCACAGGATGATGCCCGGAAGCTGCTGCACCTCTCGGACACCATCGAGGAGGGGACCATGCCTAAGGAGATGTCAGAGATCATCGGACGGCTCTGGAAGGACTCGGGCATCCAGGCCTGCTTCGACCGCGCCTCCGAGTACCAGCTCAACGACTCTGCTGGCTAGTACGTGTGCTAGGGAGCGTGGGTGGGGGGCATCAGGGGGGTTCCAACCCGTGTCTCATGCCCACCACGTGCCTGGCCAGCTACCTGTCAGACCTGGAGCGCCTGGTGACCCCCGGCTACGTCCCCACAGAGCAGGACGTGCTGCGTTCCCGCGTCAAGACAACCGGCATCATTGAGACCCAGTTCTCCTTCAAGGACCTCAACTTCAGGTGGGGACCAGGCCCCCAGGGAGGGCTGGTGCCGGGGGGTGGGCAGGGAGTGGGGGGTGCTGACGCTCCTTTGTCCTGCCCAGGATGTTTGATGTGGGCGGACAGCGCTCGGAGAGGAAGAAGTGGATCCACTGCTTTGAGGGTGTGACCTGCATCATCTTCATCGCGGCTCTCAGTGCCTACGACATGGTCCTGGTGGAGGATGATGAAGTGGTGAGGAACGCTCACCACCTCACAGCCCCTCTGCTTTGCCCCGGTGATGACCTGGGTGTCACCACGGGGCTGTGTCCCTCTGCAGAACCGCATGCATGAGAGCCTGCACCTCTTCAACAGCATCTGCAACCACCGCTACTTTGCCACCACCTCCATCGTCCTCTTCCTCAACAAGAAGGACGTTTTCCTGGAGAAGATCAAGAAGGCCCATCTCAGCATCTGCTTCCCCGACTATGACGGTGAGTGTGGCGGTGGGGTGCTGGAGGGGTGGGTGCCACCAGCCCCGCGGGAGTCCCCACCAGGTGTCCTCAGCACCCCATGCAAGTGCTGCTGCATGAGCCTGCAAGCTTTACCCACCCGAGGGAGCACTGGGTAATCCCGGGCCGGCGTTCTGGGGGGGACACCAGCCCAGGAAGGGATCCTGCTCACTGCCGCACCACCAGGTCCCAACACCTACGACGATGCGGGCAACTACATCAAGCTGCAGTTCCTGGAGCTGAACATGCGGCGGGATGTGAAGGAGATCTACTCCCACATGACCTGCGCCACCGATACCGAGAACGTCAAGTTCGTCTTTGACGCCGTCACTGACATCATCATCAAGGAGAACCTCAAGGACTGCGGGCTGTTCTGAGCCCCAGCCGAGCACCCCCTCCCCTGGGGACCAGCCCCACTGCTGACCCCATTCCACCTCCACAACCATCTCCGCTTGCCCCGGACCCCTGGGATTTGATCTGCTCAGCTCCAAAGCCACCCCTGGTGAAGTGGGGAGGGGAGTGAGGCACAATGTCACTCCCCCTCCCCATCAACTCTCCCACTGTGGGGCCCCCAGTTCTGCTGGGGGTCTCTGGGGCTCCAGGTCCTAGGGGTACCTGGATGACCCCGGATACTCCAGGGTGCTGGATGCTGCAGGTCCCTGGGTGACCCTCAGAGCTGTGGGGTATGGGGGTTCCCTTGGGTGCTGAGGGTCCTTGAGTATCCCTTGGAGCAGAGGGGCGTTTGGGGTCCTGGGTGTCCCTAGGTATTTGAGGGATCCTGGGGTGTTCCTGCATTCCCTTTAGAGCTGGGGTTCCCAGATGACCCTTGGCATTGGGGAGACTGGGGGGGTTTGGGTGCCCCTTGGTGCTGGGAGTCCCTAGTACCCCCGGAACTGAGGGGTGTTAGGGGTTCCCTTGGCTACTGGGGGGTCAGGTGGCCTCTGAAGCTCTGGGTGCTGGGGTGGTCCCTCGGGTGCTGCTGGGTGTCCATGGGTGTCCCCCTGGAGCTGGGGGGGCTGGGAGTCTCCACAAACCCCTCAGAGCTGGGGGTCCTTTGGGTGTGGGGTGGCCATGGGTGCTCCCTGGGGCTGGGGGTTCCTGTGGGCTGCTGGGTGCAAGGGGTGCTACATCTCCCTCTGGGCTACAGATCATTGGGTGCTCCTGGGTACCGGGTGTCCCCAGGGACTGCGTGATACTGGGGCTCCCTTGGTGCCATCATGTCACCCCTGCAGAGCCAGGGGGCAGTCACGCATTTGTTCCCCTCCACCCCACAGCCCTGCAGCAGCATCCCAGCTACACCCCCAAGGGTCCCACCACTGCCCTCACCTCCCACGACCAGGGGCTTCTCCTGACCCCAGGGGGATGCCAACCCACCTTGTGTCCCTCTCCCACCCCTGGGGCCCACCCCAGCCTCCCACAGAGGTGAACCCCCCTGCCCACTCCCACGTCACACAGGGCGTTTCAGTACATATAATGTTTCTCTCTCTTTTTTTTTTTCCTTTCTACATTTTATTATTTCAAACCATGTGAACAAGTCGATAAAACATCTTGTGGGAAAAGCGAGGCCGCAGGCACCGGCTGGAGGGTCCCCCTGGGCTGGGGGGACAGCGGGGGCCGCTCTGTACAGCGGGCTCTCCTCGCCCAACGCAACAGCTAGCCCTAAAAACTAGGCTTAGAAAGAGGGGGGGGATAGAGGCAGTGGGCAGCACCCCCTGCCCACCCTGCTGCCAGAGCTGCCCATGGGAGGGGGGCAGCGAGGCGGGGTGCAGACCCTCCCCCCCAAAGGCACACGGTTGGGGGGTGGGCTGGCCACGGAGGGTGCCACCACCACGTAGCACTTGATGCTTTTAAATAGTTTGGTAAAAAGGTTTCGTTAAAAAGTAACCTGTGCCCAACCGGTGTGGTGTGGATTTTTTTGCATGGTTTTGGGTTTGGTTTTGTTGGTTTTTCTTTTTTTTTTTTTTCCTTTTTTTTCTTTCTTCTTGCTTTTCTGGTTTACTAAAAGGAATGTCATCGGTCGTGTTTGTGGCTGGGTGGGCATCCCTGAGGGGACTCTGCCCCCCGTGCCAGCAACACTTGCAATGTAAACAGTGAGAGCACCAGGGCTCGGAGTGAATGAAATGGGGGCTGGAACGGTTGAGGGGTAAAAACCAAGATTAAAACCTTGTCTTCCCTGGAAGGGCAACGCCGGCGAGGAGGAGGACAATGGTGGGGGGCAAACACCGCCAGCAGGGGGTACATGGGCCCTGGCACCATGCTGACACTCAAAGTCTCTTTACGTGGTGGGCGGAGGAATGAATCTGAAGAGAAGCAGGAGTGGGAGATGGCGTGGTCCTTCCTTTGCAGCTCCTAGGAGAGAGAGGTCGTGAGCAGGGGAGGGTCTGGGGCCAGAGCAGCCTGCAGCTGAAGGATGGTCCATGACCACCCCACTTGAGGAGCCACTAGTGAGACCACCACCCACCTGGGCAGCGCTGCCCTCAGAAGAGGCCACAGTCCTTCAGGTTGTTTTTGATGATGACGTCGGTGACGGCGTCGAAGACGAACTGGACGTTCTTGGTGTCGGTGGCGCAGGTGAAGTGGGTGTAGATCTCCTTGGTGTCCTTTCTCTTGTTCAGGTCCTCGAACTTGCTCTGGATGTAGCTGGCTGCCTCGTCATACTTGTTGGCCCCTGGGGAAGAAGAGACACTGGGCTGCCCCACAGTTGCGCACAGCCACCAAAGGGTTTGGGCTTGGCTTGGCCCTCCACAGCCACTGTCCTGCTGCCAAACTGAGGCTCCAGAGGCACAATGAGCCTCAGATAACACCCCTTCAGGACAGCTGCCCCTCGTGTTGGGTCCCTCCACATCTCCCATCTCCCGGGGCAACCCAAACACCCATCACGCCCCACTTGCTGTCCCAACCCAATGCTCCTGCCAGGAGGGAAGGGGGCACAGAGGGTCCCAGTGGTACCTGTGTACTCGGGGAAGCAGATGGTGAGGGAGCTGTGCACGATCTTCTCCTCAAAGAGGTCCTTCTTGTTGAGGAAGAGGATGATGGACGTGTCTGTGAACCACTTGTTATTGCAGATGCTGTCAAACAGCTTCATGCTCTCATGCATCCGGTTCTGGCAGGGAAGACGGCAGCATGAGCCAGGCAGAGACCCCCAGGCAGCACCCACCCCACTGCCACCCCTCATGCTCCTGGGCATGGGATGCCAATGGCCCTGCAAAGCATGGGCCACACTGGCCAGGGCACTGGTGGCCACCAGAGGAGGGGCTGCTCGCCCAGCCCCCCACGGAGGGGACGGCTCATGGCACTGGTCCCATGACTCACCATCTCCTCATCTTCAGCCAGCACCAGGTCATAGGCACTGAGGGCCACACAGAAGATGATGGCTGTCACCCCCTCGAAGCAGTGGATCCACTTCTTCCGTTCCGAGCGCTGGCCACCCACATCGAACATCCTGCAGCAGGGGGTGACACGGCATGGATGGCAGCTCCAGCCCCACCACCTGCACCCCATGCCCTGTCTCAGTGCTCCAGCAGAACTGGTGCAGGCAGAGTACAGTGCCTCTGCCCCAGGGATTTTGCCAGTACTGAGGATCTGCCCCAGGTCCTGCTGCCAGGATGGCGTCCAGAGTAATTTCCCAGCCAAAGCAAATCCCTGACGTGAGCTGGGGCAGGATCAGGCCACCTTTCCCAGGGGGTGTCAGTGTCATGCTCCCCAGAGACCTGCTCCAGAGCAGGCACAGCAGGGCTTTGCCAGAGACCTTGGACCAAGGGGAGCCAAGTCACTGTGGGCTCAGCAGGATTGTGGCAGCAGCAGGGCTCAGGGATGATCCTGATGCACCATGTGCCTCTCCTTCACGGGCAGCAGAGGAAGCCCTGCCTCCATGGAGAAGAGCCCAGCAACAGCATTCCACATCCACGGCCATGCCCACTGCCAACTGTTTGGCTGGCGGGAAGGCTTTCCCATGGGACACACTGCATTCCCCCTAGACCACCCCCACTGCCACCCCCAAAGTGCTGCCCTGGCAATGCACAACCAACTGCATCCATTCTACCAGGGTGGCATCGGGGCACCTGCGAGCCCCCTGCATTCAGACAAGACCCCAGCAGATCTTTCTGACATCAGCTCTGTTGCCATGGGACTAAATCCCCTGGGGATGTGCACAATGGCAGCTTTTTGCCTCTGAAACTGGAGCCCTCATTATGTCCCGTGGGTTTTCAGTGGAAAGCAACCACGGGGTGCCAGCAGGCAGCGCTGCCACTGCCTGACCCCGAGACCCCAGTCCTGCCCAGCGCCCTTCCTGCAGCGGAAGCAGCGTCACAGAAGCAGGAGGAGGGACGCCTTCCCCCTCCCCTCCTCGCCAGAGCCTGGATCCGCCCCCAGGCTGAGTTCTGTGAAGTGTTTTTGAGGCTGTTCCAGCTCTTTCAGCGGTTTCCGCTCTCTGAGGCAGCAGTTCCCGCCATGAGCAGACCAGGAGGAGGGGAGAACTGAGTGCACACAGTGTGCACCCATGGTCCATCCCAGCATGGGGAGGAAGGGATTTTTTGCTTCCAAAAAGGCAAAAGGGAAAGAGGTCAGACATACTTGAAGTGCAGGTCCTTAAAGGTGAAGTGAGTCTCCACGATGCCCGTGGTCTTCACCCTGGTGCGCAGCACGTCCTGCTGGGTGGGGATGTAGTCAGCACGGGCTATCCTCTCCAGGTCGTTCAGGTAGCTGGGGACAAAGAGGAAAGGTGCTGTGGGAGCTGGACCATGGGGAAGAACCCACCCAGATCCTATGGGACATCCCACACTGGCCCAGAGTCCCCTGTCCATCTCCCAGCATTGCTCAGTTGGGGTGGGCAGTGCCAAGCTGGGACGCACAGCAGAGGCTCCATGTGCATCCTGGGGTAACCCCGTGTCCCTGCCAGACACAGGCAGGGCAGGACACCAGTGGCCAGGGTGACACGGGACACACAGGACCGAGGCACTGGGAGCCCAGCAGAGGATGCAGCCGGGGCTGAGGGGCTCACCCCATTTCCCTGGCCGTTTGCACAGGGGGGAAATGGCAAAAGGCAAATATTCAGTGCTATGGCAACCAGCCGCAGTGCCGGCGGAAACAATTGATGGCGCCATGCCATTTATAGTCAAAAACACAAAGGGACGGCATCCTGGGAGGAAGCAGGAGGCAGGAGGCCAGAGACACAGGGAGCAGCGCCGTGGGGGGCTGCAGGGGTACCAGCCCCCGGGGAGCATCGCCTGCCCTGCTGCCCACAGGGTCCCTGCAGAGGTGGTGCCGGGTCCTCAGCATGCAACACCCACCAGGACTGATGAGGACTGCCGGGGGATCAAGGCAGGTTTTGATTTCTCCAGCTCACATTGCTTTAATTGGGTTACTACAAACGGGCTCC